GGCTGACTTTTATATTTTTCTTTTCTTACCTTCTTACCAAGGGCCAAAGGGTCTCTTCTGCTTTTTCTTCTTCTTCTCTTTCTTTCACTTTTCCCATTCCTTTTTTTTTTCTTTCTCTCTTGTTCTCTGACTCCTTCAAATACTTCAACCTCTGACACTCGCGATATTAACCCCTCGTGGATTTTACTCGTCTTCAAGGTACACGCCTAGTCGTTATTTCAACGTCCTTATCTTTAAAATCATGGTCTTATCTCTCTTTCTCTCTTTTTTTTTCCTCCTTTTAAATTATCGAATCAATTTCAGAAACTTAAGAAGAAACGTGTGTCTGTAAATTATTAGATACCATCTTTTATCTCGATTTTATTCTTTGTTAATTTTACATTAATTTTATTATTCAATAGTTCCTTCCTATGACTAAAACCAATTTTCTTTCGTATTAATATTGCAAAATATCGATCGTTAAAATTCATTTCCTATAAATTATTCCAATCTTTGAATTTTACAATTTGCTCAATCATTCTATGATTTTAATCAGATCTTATTCGTTAATCATTATAAGGTCAATCGTTAATATAAATGTTTCATGAAATAAATTAGATTTATTTATATTTAACTTGAATAATATTATATTATATTCACAAATGTAAAACAAACTAAACGGACAAATCAAATTTTTACACAAATATTTCATGATATTTGATTTTTATAATATATCGGTAAAATTAATTGAATTTCATTTCTAATTGAAATCAATGGAACGAACAGTTTCCATTAGTTTTTTTTTTTTTTTTATGTCGACTATAAGTAATAGAATCAATATAATGATAATAAGAAAAAGAAAAATAACGACGACGTGAACTTTGGTTAAATCGATGTTGAGTATTGACGCATTTTTGGCACGGAATTTAACTCGAACTCTCGTTTACACGGAATATTTCAGTTTGGATCGATAATTGGTTCTCAGCGAAGCGTGATCCACGACCAGTCCATACGTTTTATCGGGCATGTCAACGATTTTAAACGGACAAGTTTGTTGTGTTACCATCCATTTACATGTATGTGTTATATAATACATAATACTTATACGAAAAAAAAAAGGAAAAAAAAAGAATACTAATCAAATAATATCATCACATTTTGATATTATATATACCTATATATATATATATATATATATATATATATATATATAGAAGGAAACTTTATTTAAGAACCGGAGACTGGTACGGATTTTTTAATCGAGACAGCGTCAAAACGAATATCAAGTCAAACGATTTTTCCATCGTTCGCAGCTATTTCCTCTCAAAAAGTCATCGAACTTTTCATAAATCGTTCGCGTCCAAGGTGCCAAAACTTTTCTCACGAGTTTGGTTGAGTATTTAAAAGAAGTCCTTGATATTTATCAAACTTCTTCGAACCCTCTAAAAATCACCTCGATATTAAAAGTTATGAGTAAACACTCTCTCCTTTTCGCCCGACCTTATTTATACAAGATATTTCTCTACTTTTATTTATAAAAGATTGAAATTATCGGTTTTCGTTTAAAATTTTTTATCTTTAAATAAACATATAATATCACTTATGAAAATAATATGAATATAGTAAATAGAATGAATAAATTAATTTTCCAATATCAATCAAACAATACATAGAAAAGAATAATTTCATTCGTAGAAAAAGTCTAAAACTGACATAGAAGAAGTTTATTTTCTTGCTAGTAGAATCGTTGTGATTTCGTTCGACTTTTCCGGTGCAAAGTACTTGACCGAGATTTATCGATGTACCCTCCTAACCTTTTCCATGCCTCGACCCCTTCTTCTCATCACAGTAGTTCCTTCCACTTTCGCTTCTTGATTTACAGCCGATAATTAAACCTCCGTAAACGGAAATGAAAGACGTGGTATGTATAAAGGGCCCACCAGGAACCATAGCCACGAGTCACCAAAAACTTTGACTCCCAGCCGTGGCAAAAGGATAAGACCAGAAAGGGAAATATCTCAAATAAATTAATCGTCCTCGAGGTAAACTTAAGCCGTAAGTCAAACGGAAACTTTGGTCGAAACCATGAAATTATTGGAAATGCATACAAAATAAAATATATTTCCTTTACTTTTTGTTGTTTTTTTTATTTATTTTTTTTTCCTTTTTTTTTTTTTTGTTTCATTTTCAACGATAAAGAAATACCGATACTAGCAATTATCGAAATATTGCATCGGCGTTCAATACTCTCTTCGACATTTTTTAAATCAAATAATAAAAAGTCACGTGCAACAGGATGCAATTTATTAGAGTTAGTGTTTACTTTATTGAAATACAATTTTTTTTTCTTTATTTTTTTTTTTTTTTCGATATTCATTGTCGTTCTAATGCATCATCGCATTTTCAAGTGGCAGACACATTTCATTTTTATTGTCTCTTTTATTCTTTCCCTTGGTTTACTACCAAATGTAATTTTTTTACGTTTTTTCATTTTAATCAAAGACATTTCTATCCCATTTTTTTTCTACTTTTAATTTATTGATAAATGTAATTTAATTTTTTTTTTTGTTATCTAGTTTTAATCGATTTTTCTGTTCTTTTCTTTTCTTTATTTTTCTTTTTTTTTTTTCTTTTGTTGTTTTGTTTGTAGAAGATTCGAGGCTAACGAATCCAGGGTTTCTACTACTCGAAATCACCGAGAAGAACTTTCGCCGAGGAAATATATTGCAAATAAGATTAGACGAGGAGGAAAGAGATCGTGGGTTTCGTCGGGCGTTCCTATCCCGACCGACGAATTCACCCCTCTCGAAAAATACGTCTCCGAGAGACAATCCTAAGGAAATAGCTGAAATTCCGTCGGCGGGTGGCCACCCCCATTCTTCCTTATTCTTAGACCGATCCTGGCTCTTCGAACGCTTTTGCGTTAACCGAACACCATTACATTACCTACTTAGCTTCAACCCGTACAACGACCCCTTTTACACTACCAGTATTTTATCATTTCCCTTTCTTTCCACACGATTGACCAAGTAGTCTCAGTGTCCTCTTTATTTCTTATACTTTATTTAACATATAAAATTGTAAATGTAAGAAATATCGAATCTCATTTCAAATATTTATAATATAATAAATAATTTCATATTATTTACCTCGTAGAATAATCATAGAGATTGGTATGATTTATGATTTTGTATACCTGAAACAAAAAAAAAATTAAAAATATCAATTAATATTAAAATATATAAATATTTATTATACATATATTTTAATGCAATGAAATTCTTACAATTACATCAAATAATTTTAATATATTAAGAATGACGATGTAACAATGCATTAAAATGGATTATATTAAATCTCCTATTGTAAATGCAGCTTAAAATTAAAATTAAAACAAAATAACATTTTTCATAAGAATAAACAAAATTACGAATATTTTTTATATTTTCTAAATATATTATGAGTATAATATTAATGAACGAAAAAAAAAAGGATTTTTAGAAAAAAAAAACATTTTATTTAGTAATCTCATCGTTAAAATTGCACGAAATTATTCGATCAGTACTAATTGCCGTACGTGCACTGTACGTTGTACATTTAAATGATAAAAATGTTCGACGTGCGTGCGAGTCACATTTTTGAGTCTGTTTAAATTCCCATGCACGCAATATTCAAAGAAATATGAGTGTGATATTATAACGCGGATTCGTAGCTTGTAAAAAGCTGAATGAGAGAGTAAGAGATAAGAAAAATGGAAATTTTATAACTTCCATATGAACTGAAATTACGCGAACTCGCGATCCTGTCGTATACATATATACGTATATTACCTTGGTTCGTTTATGCGATGTAATTTAAATCGTTGAACGAGTATATTCGTCATGGAAATAATTCTGAACTACGTTTAGGATGGTATTAACTTGAAAGATTATATAAAATGTATATGATGGATTGAACTCATTCAAACGTAATTATATAATAAATTTATACAGAATTTAAACAATATGTCATAACGAGAATAAATCTTAATATGTATATATATATATAAATTACGTGTCACGTTGTTTGTCAGTAATGGACTCCTAAACTACTGAACCGATTTTAATCAAATTGTGCACACTGTGTGCAGTTTCATCCAACTTGAAAGATAGGATAGTTTATATCTCAATCTATAATCGCAATATTATTTGTTTATTAACAAAGAGTCATGATTATCTCTGTTAGTTCGATAAGATTCTAACAGATGGCGGTATAAGGTAATTCGTTGACTTAAAGACGCGTGTATCGGACACTCCTAGTATTTTATATAGATAATATATTTAAATAAGATAATTAAAAGATAATTAATATATTAGTAAATCATTAAATGTATCCTTTAAAAATTTAATTATAAATACAATGAAATCATATTTATTCGTTATTCTTATTTAAATATTTACTTAACTTTTTGTTATAAAAATATAAAAAAAAATAATGTGACGAATTTGCAGATTGAATTGTTAATCTAATGTAACAAAATGTAATAAAGATAGTAAATTTATCGGGAGCTGTTATCTCATCAAACTTGTCGCGTGTAATAAAAAAGAAAAAGAAAAAGAAAAAAAAAAGGACATTTAAATATCGAAAAGATCGAAGCAAAATAAGGTGAAAAAAGAAAAGTTACTAGAGAAGTTATCCGTCGTTGGGGCTAATTAGCTAATGGAAATCCCTGTTGGCTAGAAAAGGGATAGATAAAAGAAAAAAGAAGGAGTACTAGAGAACGGAAAACGTGGTTGGAGGACGGGTAATAGCGGGAAATTCAAATGTATCGCTTAAATTATCCACTTTCTCGTGAGAGAAGAGTAAAGGTGAAAGAATAAACGAGAATGAGAAAGAGAAAGAAGAGAGAGAGAGAGGGAGTGAGAGAAATAGAAAGAGAGAGAGAGAAAGAGAGAGAGAGAGAGAGTGGGAGAGAAAAAGAACGAACGAAAGGTTCGGAAGGGAGGGAAAATGGGCGAACGCACCCTTCGCTCGTAACTCACGCTTGTTTTTGTCGGTGGCAACTATGTAGACTTTTACCGCGAGAGCTTCCGTAACCACCACCACTACCACCACCACCATTGGTGGTTGTCGTTGTCATGCGTCCTCTTACCCATTCCCACATGAGACAAAAAGAGAAAGAGAGAAACGTTCGAAAACCTTTTCAAAGTATCGTCGTTTTTCCATGAAATTCGAAAAGAACTGTTTTTCGTACTGTAATAAACATTCTTCCTCCTCCTCCTCCCCCACCCCAATCCTGCCCTCTCCCTCTCATTCACCCACCCCCCCCCCTGACGAAACAAAAAAAAACGACAAAGAAAAAGAAAAGAAGAGGAGTAAAGGTAACGATTAAACTTGTGGTCGAGGCTCGCTCTTGGGAGCGAACATTTCGCGTTTCTAATCGCTGATAAGCAAACGGTCCGCTCATAAATCTCAGTGGACGGCTCCCATGGTGGCCTGGTTGGGCTATCGCATATCTATGAGTTTGTTTATTAATTATCACGCAACCGAGAATGCTCGCGAGCACGTTCTTACTCACGACACTCTACTTCGATTACGAATCACCCTTTCTCTCTTTCTCTCCCTCTTTCATTCTCTTTTACCATGCATAAAGGAAGCTCGATACTGGACCTTAATCGTCCGATACATATCGGACACAACAGATACACAAATGGTTGCACGTGTAACAACGAAGAACTTCGTATCGTTAACCTTCAACAGGATATCCAGCTGTTTATTTTTTTTTTTTCATTTAAACACACGTTATTACGATTTGGAATGAAGATGGATAAATGAGATCGAAAGATAGACTGTCTAGCATAATAATAATAATAATAATATTAGTCGAATGTCTTTTAATCCTAAGATCTTATCTAATTAATTAATAGAGTAAGAAAGTACGATAAAAGAAAATAAATGTTTACTCGTTGTTGGTGGTATTGTATATATATATATATATGTAGTTTGATTTTGTCGGTTAATTGTCGCCCTCGAGAAAGACGTCGTCATTACCAACAGAAAACAAATCGAGAGCTTCGCGATAATGAAATTTAGAAGACGAAAGGAAGAGGAAAGGATCCCAACAGACTGAACGAGCTTCATCGTTAGGGAGCTCGTTTCATTAATTTCCAACCTTCCCTGCCAAATCACCTACTATCTAATTCCTATAATTCAATTAGCAATACGATACTAGTTCTCGAAATTGTACGAATTTCAATCGACATTTGTTTTTTTTTTTTCTATAATTTCATAAATAATATACCATATAATATTATAAGTTATAATTAATTATTTGTTGTACGCTTAAATTTTACTATAAATTTTGTCCCATTAATATCATTAATAATATAAATTATTAAATTTATAAATATTTTTGGATATACTTTTTTTAATGATAAATAATAAATTATTGATTATAATAATGATTAATCAATATTCAATTAATTAAAGAGAGAGAGAGAGAGAGAAATTGATTTTTAATATCACACTCTTGCATTTTTGTAAAAACCTTTAATGAAGTTTTCCTAATGCAACTTCGAAAAGTTTTGTTCGCGTGACGTGCGGTACCTAAGCTATTTATATGTATAAAGGTATATACCGTATCTTTACCGTATAAAGTTAGATCTCGAATGTCCATGCAGAAAACATTTGATGGACAGTACATGTATGCCGAGCATTATCAGATATTCCTCAATGACATAGATGACGTTTATGCCAGTAAGACATTTTCTATATATAGATATATATATATACGATAAATATACTCGTTTGTACAAAAAATACGTAAATTGTTCTATCTATGATTAATATTATTCTTTGTGATTGTCTTTTTCTATAAATACATTTGTATACTTTTATACTGAAATTCTGTATAGAGTAAGTAAAAATATGTAATAATTTATTAAAATGAATACTATAATAATTCTTCATTGGTTTATAATAAATTATTATTAAATGAAAATATTAATTTGAATTTCATTTTTTTTTTTTTGTAATAATTAATCAGTTACAAAAATTAATTATTATCTTCATTTCTATGCATTTTATTTATAGATTATGTATAATAATATTTATGATAAAATTGTTAGTAAAAAATATATATAAAAGAAATTTGACAAATAATTTACCAATACATACCAATAATACTAATATATTACAAACTTCTAAGATTCTTACTTTCGCAGATATTTGAATGTAAATAACAGATACTGACACATTGACCTATATGATTTATGAAAGTGCATTGACCTTTATAATTTCTTGGACTTTACCATCTGGCTGATGTAAACAGTTTTTTTTTTTTTTTAATACGAATCATACACCTGTTACTACTACCACAGATGTTTAATAGAATATTCAAAATGAAATCTAAATAAAACATACCCTCGAAATGGAAAATTGTTAAAGCTTAAAACAGATATTAAAAGTTAAAAACACCATATATAAATACTTTATCGTTTCTACCAATATCGAGAGATTTATTAAAGATAAAAAATATTTTTCAATAAACAAACTAACAGACAAAAATTTCAATAGAAAATAAATAAAATTATAATCCCAGTTATCAGAATGAAATATAAAAATTGATTAAACATTAGAAACATATTTAATTTGCAAATCTGATCATACAATTTTTCCGATAAAATAGAAAATAAATAAACAAAGAAATAATAAAAGCATTGCCTCTAAAACATCGTGTAAACAATTTATAAAGTTATTTTGACGACGTTGTGGTTCCGAATGTTCGGCACTCGCAAATATTATTTTGCGAATAATTAACCAGAATCTGTTCCGTAGAATAAAGCTACGGTAGCAGGAATGATGACACGAGCAAGCGTGCAGGAAACGGTTGGTCGTAGAAGCCGCCAGGTTCGAAAGCTCGAACGGGAAAACTCGTCTGCTAATAGGCTTTTGTGTGCAACAGGAATATATTTCTATCGCGAAATGCAATCAACAAAAGCGTGCTCGGCCATTCGCTTAATTAAGCGCTTATTATTAATTAACCGTCGAGCACAAGCTGCCGTTCTGGACGACCAGAAACAAATAGAACGTCAAAGTGTCACCCAGTGCACGCGTGCGTTCTATTTGTACGAGGTATTTCCCTCCTCCTATCACTTTCTCTCTCTTTCTCTCTCTCTCTTTCTCTTTAACAATCTCTCTCATTCTCACTCTGTCTTTTTATCTCTCTCATCCTCTTCTCCTTTCATCCTCCTTCCACTCACTGCGTTTAGCAGAGATATCGTTATTCGTTTTACATATAATAAACCATTTACATTTCACGTATATTACTATCATAATTACTAAAGGAAGTTATTGTCATTTAATATTTATACGTTACAAACGATGAATTATTTTCGTACCAAATTTACATACTGAATCAGCTTAATTCAAGCATACGAATGTATTTCAATAAAAATAAGATTCTTATTATTAGATAACACAATTGATTCGATCTAATGTAATGTAAATCATTTGTCAGGAGCAATACGTTATTAAAATGTTTTCATTTAAGTAATTAATACTATGTATATTCTTGTGATATTAAACATTGTTTAATGCGATACGAAGGGAATGATACAAAAATTGTTAAAAATGAAGATTAAAAAAGTACTCTAGGGAGTTTGAAAGTATAAATAAAATAAAAGATTAATCACTCGATAATCGGTGTGGTTAGGAAAGAACGGATATCGAAACAATCGTTCAGTCGTAGTTAAGTCCTAGTAATCCTACGTGTCCCCCTCTACGATACACCAGGAAACGTGGTCTCTTCTTTTCGTACACCGTTCCTTCCTATCGACGATCAGTTCATTCGTTCCGACTGACGAACATAAATCTTGACCTATGAAAAACCCAGAAGGGGAATTAATGCATGACCCAATTAAGGGTAAAGGAAGAAACTTAAGACTCGTAAATTCTATTATAGAATATAAAAGAAGAGTCATTTAATATAACACGTACGATTTTAATGTTCTCTTATCTGTCTCATACTTTTACAATAAATACTTTTATCTGATAATCTTATTACGAGTTTTGAACAAAATAAACTTTATTGTATTACGACGTGACGTACTTTTTGCCTTAAGCAATAAAAAAAAAAAGAAGATCCCTGTACTATCTCACTTTGTAGTTTGGGGTCACTGGTTGGATAAATAANAAAAAAAAAAAAAAAAAAAAGAGGAAGAGGAAGAAAATAAGGGTATAAAAAGAATAAGATAAAATGAAAGGTACAAAAGCCACGTACATCTGACTCAATAAAGACCAACTCGAAAAGGAACTAACTTGATGATGGGATACAGCATCGCGAGGTCATCTTTGTACACGAGAAGCAAAGAGATGAGAAAAGAGAGAAGAAAGTGGAGAGGGAAACTACGCTTCGGTAAGCCACTTATCAAGAGAGGCAGTTTCTCTCCAGAAGATAGTTGTCGCCAAGGGTTTCGACAAACTGCCCTACTTGAGACGAGGAAAACCCTCGTCTTCGTTGGGATCGTTTCTACGACAAACGGTAAGTCTTACTACCGAGTTATCCGACAAGTTCGCTTCGAATCGATGACCTTTAAGACATTTTACTCTACGCCTCCCGACTCCTTTTGTCTCGTCTCCTCCCTTTTTCAACATTGAGAAACGTATTTGCGTCGTTACTCTAAACCAGCGTATAAAATGCTCGTATGTCTTTTTCTATTTCTGTGTGACTATGCCTTTTTAGCGATAGAACTTTAACCTTCACACGCTGATCGATTGTCCTTTATTTTTAATCTATTACTTTGTCTTGCTTGAAAATATTTCTATAAATAAAAATATACAAATGTATATATATATTTATTATTGTATATTATTCGTAATAAATAAAGAAATAGAAAAAAAGAAAATATTTCTATATTTTATCCAACATAAACATTGAAACTTTTACTAACTTTGGAAAATCCGTAAATCCTTGGGCACATGTGGAAAAACGAATTTCTTGCTTTTAAAAACTTGTGGAATCCTTTGGAAAGACTATGGTGCAAAAAAAAAAAACAGAAAGAGAGATAATCTCTCAGGGAGTTTAGAATTTTTCGATGGATATTCTTGCGATACGGCAAACGTTTCGCGAGCTAGCAATACGTACGTACGTACGGTAACGTTCCG